CCTTACTGCAGTCTAGTTTACTGCACAGTTCTCACATTCCAGTTCACTCTCATCTCCCCCAGAAAAACACACGCTTACATTGCAACCCATTTAAAAATCAGTGTTTTCATTCAGCAAATGCTGTTTGAGCCTCCGCAGGGGCAAATCCTGCCCAGGTCTGGCTGTGGATCCACAGCTCTTTGGACAGCCTGTGGAGGCCCTAAACTGAAGAAGGGAAGGCTGCGAATCAGGGTTTGTGCTCTAGAACACGGCTGCTCTGCATTTGTGCAGGGTGCCTTCCACCAGAGGCTCGGAGAGCACTTCACAGAAACTGACCAACAAACCCGCACCGCACCCTGTGATGGTTTTTTGTTTTATTAACCCCAACTTCCAGCTGGGAGATGGCAGGCATAGGAAGGTAGAGCGACTCGTCCACAATTTCACAGCAAGTAAATTGCAGGGTCTGGGACAGAACTTTGCCTTCCCAACTTCCAGTCCTAGGCTTCAGCCAAAAGAACATCCCGTGCCTCCATGAGATAAGCAAACTTTTCCATACTCTCAGCTTCACAGTTCAGTATTTTTGGCATTCGCCTCATTCTACGATGATTGAAAGCGGCTGACAAACATTGTTTACTGTTCATCCCAGTTCCGCTGGGCAACATACAATCTGTTCGCAGCAGCCTCGTTTTAGATGAAAGAAAAGCAGCCTGCGAGCACTGCATTAAACAGTTAACAGGATTTTGCTTTCTGGAGGTTCGTGCTGGGGTCAAGCTTTTGTGAACACTCCTGACTGCATCGAACTTACATAATTTTCAGCTGATCACCAACACACAATTCTGCAGTTGCCGAAAGGGGAAGAGAACAGTCCAAACATTTTGGTTAGATGTCTCGTTCCATCCAGCGTGCGTGTTGTGAATTAGATCACTTCTTTGGAGGGGGAAATAGGGTCTCAAACAACAGAGGTTCTGGTAAGGTACCTGCAGAGCCATCAAATCCAGAGATGAAGGCCCGTCTGCAATCACAGGGCGCAATGTACTCACTCTGGAAAAGAGAAGACGCAGCTAATTACTTACATCAGCAATACAAAAATCGCTGATGACAAGTACATTAAAAAACTTTGCTTCAAGTGAAGGACACAGTCAAGAGAAACAAACAAGTTATAAGATTGGGCTCTGCTCCTTTGGAAGTCCTAACAAGTGTTTAAAAATTGTTCCTTTGGGACATTTAAGTATCTGCAATTACTTTGTATTTATATGGGTCTGATTTTTTTAACCCCCCCCTCAGAACTTTTCTCCCATCAACTTCTGTAAACAGTGAAGTGCTGCAGTTTGCTGATATTTATTTCACACACAACCTCCCATTTGGCAACAAACAGATCCTGCCTTTGAAGCTGCAAAAGTAAGGAGAAGAGAACACAGAAGCATTCCTCGATCTTGGAAACTAAAGTACACGGTCCATTAAGTCTCTAAATGCCACTATATTTATTGATGTCCTCCAACTGGGGTTTACAAGAAGCCCTTTTAGAATTTCTTCTCTACAACAAAGCTATTAAAAAGGAGACTGTCAAGGTTGTTAGGCCATAAAACTTTTAAGCCTTTAGGAGACTTATAATTAGACACCATGTCTACTACCTCTGTTTTACCTGTTCAAATCCAGCCCCGGTCAGAAGTAACCAGAAGTTATTGGCTACCATTGGAACAGTGCTTATTTTCCTATGTGAAACAAGTGAGAGGGGGAGAGGTAGATACGCTTAAGGGCAGAGATAGGGTACAGAATGACTTAGACAAATTGGAGGATTGGGCCACAAGAAATCTGATGAGGTTCAACAAGGACAAGTGTAGAGTCCTGCACTTGGGACAGAAGAATCCCAAGCATTGTTACAAGCTGGGGACCAACCAGTTAAGCAGTAGTTCTGCAGAAAAGGACCTGGGGGTTACAGTGGATGAGAAGCTGGATATGAGTCTACGGTGTGCCCTTGTAGCCAAGAAGGCTAATGGCATATTAGGTTGCATTAAGGGGAGCACTGCCAGCAGATCCAGAGATGTCATCATTCCCCTTTATTCGGCTTTGGTGAGGCCACATCTGGAGTATTGTGTCCAGTTCTGGGCCCCCCACTACAAAAAGGATGTGGACGCATTGGAGAGGGTCCAGCGGAGGGCAACCAAAATGATTAGGGGGCTGGAGCATATGACTTATGAGGAGAGGCTGAGGGACTTGGCTCTGTTTAGTCTGCAGAAGCAAAAAGTGAGGGGGGATTTGATAGCAGCTTTCAACTTCCTGTGATGAAGCACTGGAATGGGTTACCTAGGGAAGTAGTGGAGTCTCCATCCCTAGAGGTGTTTAAGTCTTGGCTTGACAAATCCCTGGCTGGATTGATTTAGTTGGAATTGGTCCTGCCTAGAGCAGGGGGCTGAACTTGATGACCTTCTGAGGTCTCTTCCAGTTCTATGATTCTAACTACTAACTGTGGTTTGTAACTTATCCTTTAAATCAGCTTGTGTATCAAATGAGTGGCAGATAGCTAATGTGACGCTAATCTTTAAAAAGAGCTCTAGAGGTGATCCTGGCAATTATAGGCTGGTAACTTTTTCTTAAGTACCAGGAAAATTGGTTGAAACTATAGTAAAGAACTGAATTGTCAGACACAAAGATTAAGAGAACGTTCCCTCTTATCCCATGACATCTTACTTTGCTTAAGAGCCTTTGATGAAGGATCTTGTTAAAGGCTTTCTGGAAATCTAAGTGCACTATATCCACTGGATCCCCTTTGTCCACATGCATATTGACCCCCTCAAAGAGCTCTAAGGGTACGTCTACACTTGCAGCCTATTTCAGAATAGGGATGCAAATGTAGGCATTCAGAATTGCAAATCAAGCCCGGGATTTAAATATCCCGCGCTTGATTTGCATCTTCCTGGCTGGGTGCCATTTTTGAAATTTACAAGCCCAGAATAACTGCCTGCGTCTACACGCAGCAGTGAAATGGGCGTTCGAAATAAGGCCCTATTTCAAACTACCTGTTAAACCTCATTGCAGGAGGAATAACAGGTAGTTCAAAATAGGGCTTTATTTCGAACGCCCATTTCACTGCTGCGTGTAGACGCAGGCAGTTATTCTGGGCTTGTAAATTTCAAAAATGGCACCCAGCCTGGAAGATGCAAATCAAGTGCGGGATATTTAAATCCCGGGCTTGATTTGCAATTCTGAATGCCTACATTTGCATCCCTATTCTGAAATAGGCTGCAAGTGTAGACGTACCCTTAGAGCTCTTTGAGGGGGTCAATATGCATGTGGACAAAGGGGATCCAGTGGATATAGTGCACTTAGATTTCCAGAAAGCCTTTAACAAGATCCTTCATCAAAGGCTCTTAAGCAAAGTAAGATGTCATGGGATAAGAGGGAACGTTCTCTTATGGACTGATAACTGGTTAAAAGATAGGAAACAGGGTAGGAATAAGTGGTCAGTTTTCAGAATGAAGAGAGGTAACTAGTGGTATCTCACAGAGGTATCTTGCACTGAGATCAATCCTATTCAACATATAAATGCATGATTTGGAGAAAGCGGTAAACAATGAGGTGACAAAATTATCAGAGGAAACTACACTGTTCAAGATAGTTAAGTCCAAAGTAGACTGCAGATTAAAAGCTACAGAGGGATCTCACAAAACTGGGTGACTAGGCAACAAAATGGCAGATGAATTTTAATGTTGATAAATGCAAAGTAATGCATATTGAAAAACATAATCCCAGCTATACATACAAAATGATGGGGACTAAATTAGCTGTTACCACTCAATAGAGATTTTGGAGTCATTACAGATAGTTCTCTGAAAACATCCACTCAGTGTACAGCGGCAGTCAAAAAAGCAAACAGAACATTAGGAATCATTAAAAAAAGGGATAGAGCATAAGACAGAGAATATTTCATTGCCTCCATATAAGTCTTTCAGTAGTGGCCAGTGCCAGGTGCCTCAAAGGGAATTAACAGAACAGGGATCATCAAGTGACCCCTCCTTTGTCACCCAGTCCCAGCTTCTGGCAAAGAGGCTAGGGGCACCATCCCTGCCCATCCTGGCTAATAGCCATTGATGAACCTAACCTCCCTGAATTTATCTAGCTCTTTTTTGAATCCTTTTATCATCTTGGCTTTCACAACAGTCTCTGTCAAGGAGTTCCACAGGTTGTGCATTGTGTGAAGAAATACTTCCTTGTGTTTGTTTTAAACCTGCTGCCTATTAATTTCACTGAGTGACCCCCTAGCTCTTGTATCAGAGGGGGAGCCGTGTTAGTCTGAATCTGCAAAAGCGAGGAGGAGTCCTGTGGCACCTCATAGACTAACAGATTTATTGGAGCATAAGCTTTTGTGCATCTGATGAAGTGGGTCTTTGCCCACGAAAGCTTATGCTCCAATAAATCTGTTAGTCTATGAGGTGCCACAGGACTCCTCCTCGCTTTTGCAGATTCAGACTAACACGGCTCCCCCTCTGATACAAGAGCTAGGGGGTCACTCAGTGAAATTAATAGGCAGCAGGTTTAAAACAAACACAAGGAAGTATTTCTTCACACAATGCACAACCTGTGGAACTCCTTGACAGAGACTGTTGTGAAAGCCAAGATGATAAAAGGATTCAAAAAAGAGCTAGATAAATTCAGGGAGGTTAGGTTCATCAATGGCTATTAGCCAGGATGGGCAGGGATGGTGCCCCTAGCCTCTTTGCCAGAAGCTGGGACTGGGTGACAAAGGAGGGGTCACTTGATGATCCCTGTTCTGTTAATTCCCTTTGAGGCACCTGGCACTGGCCACTACTGAAAGACAGAATCCCAGGCTAGATGGAACCTTGCTCTGACCAGCATGGCCAGGCTTATGCTTTTGTCCAGATACCCGGTGTCCCTCCCCCACTCTAACCACTAGCCCCAACCCCCCTTCCAGGAGCAGGCAAGAGAACCCAGGAGTCCTGACTCCCAACCCCCACTCCAGCCCCCTGACCCCAGGTGGGATTGTGGCTCTCGCCTGGAATTACCTGAATAGATCCCAGCTCGGTCCTCAGCAGCTCGCACTGAAACAGAGACCAACACACACCATCATATGCTGGGAAAAGGGGGCAGTTGGGTGACCAGATGCCTGGGTTCTCCCCCCAGTTCTGGGAGGGCAATTGGGACTGGTGGTTAGACCAGGAGACTAGGTGCCAGGTCTCCTGGGTTCTCTCCTTCAGTCCAAGAGTGGTGATTAGAGCAGGGGACTGAGAGCTATGATGTTTTCATGAGCTAAGTCCAAGTATATACATTTGAAAATATCTGCCTCCCTCACCCATCCAAACAGAAGGGTGAGTGCTCTGGGCCCATCCCAGGTCTGTCTCACCTTCATAGTGTGCAGCAGCAGCTTGGGACGCTACAAGTTTCTGGCGCCGTGACTTCTTCCCCTTGGGGACTGACAAAAAGAAGGGAGAATTGCACTCAATTTTGTGCCATACAGGTCTCGTGACACACATGGGCAACATTTGGTGGGCTGCCCCTAGAGGGCAGCATTACATGCAGACATATGGACAGGCAACCACAGAATCCACTCACCCCTTCTCTGACTCACCAACCCACACTCCCCTCCAAAAGCTGGGGAGAGAACTCAGGCGTCCTGGCTCCCAGCCCACTGTTGTACCCTACCAGGCCTCACTTCCCTCCCAGCAGTCCTGGCTCCAGCCTCCCTGTTCTAATTCACCGGAGCCTGGGAGAAAACCTAAGTGCCTGGGCTCCCAGCCCTGCTGCACTGGGGTGGGGATGTTGCTGTGGGACAAACACCTGGGGTTCATTCACCTGATCGCTTCTCCCGCAGTACTTCCTCTTGGGCCAGGTGTTGCAGGAACAATCCCTGGGAGCTGCGGCCAATAGGGGGCACCAGCTGGGTAGGGGACAGTGCAGTGAGGAAGCGATTAATGGAAGTCCAAGTGATACACACACAGAGCACACCACCACCACCCCGCAATGTCTGTATTGACACCCTTCCTTAATAATACACCTTCGGGGAGCTCCAGCCTTTCCGAGTAACACAGGGTGGGAGGTTACTTCTACTCTCTTCAGAGCTCTGATCCCTCAGGGGAGGACCCAGTCTCCCGCAACCCCTACTGGGGTCCCAGCTGCCCTGCCCCTAAAAAAGAAAAGGGGATGAATAAGAATGAAAGAAAGAATGAAGGAAAAGATGGATAAAGGAAGAAACAGACAAAAGCCCAGAGAAAACAAAGAAAGGAATAACATAAGAGCAGAGAAAAGCAAAGCCCAAGAGAGCGGAGGGGAGAAGTGTCAGAGTGATGGACAAATCAAATGAATGAGTGAGGGCTCATCTAGACTACGGGGAAAGGTTGAAAGAAGATATGCAAATTCCTCAAAAAATGAGGTTTAAGCGACTTTTCGACAAAGGGGGGGAGGTTCGCCAAAAAAGTCATGTCTTAACTACTTTCAAATTCCCATGGAATTTGCATATCTTCTTTCGACCATTCCATGTAGCCCTCAAAGACAGAAAGAAGAAATGCAAAAAAAAAAAAAAAAAAAAAAAAGCTGAGCAAACGGAAGATGAAATGGCAAAGCCACAGAAAGTATAGACAAAATAGGCCCTGCAACGAAGGGCAACAGAATGTATGAAAAGTGGAGAAAAATGACACAATTAAGAAGAAAGAGAGAGAAAGAATGAATAAGCTTATGATGGAGGAAAGCAAAATAAAAAGCAATGAAAAGAGAAAGAGTGAAAAAACACAATGAAAAGACAGATGGAAGAAAGACAAAAAACAAAACGAATGAAAAAACCCCCAAGAGAATGAAAAAAGAAAAGGAAAAGAGGGGCCGTGGAAAAAGGCTGAATGAGGAACTGAACAAACAGAAGAGCGAGGGAAATAAAAGCAGAAGGATGAATGAGGAGGGAGGAATGAGGCAAAGACAGAAAGAAGGAAGAACGAAAACCCAGCAAAAGGGGAAGGAATGACACAATGGCTAGAGGAAAATGCAACCAAGAAAGAGTGAAGGGTGAAATGAAGACTGGAGAGAGAAAATGAGAGAGCAAGGGGATTGCAGATGGCAAGGATGAAGGGAGGAAATACGAAAGAAAGTAGGAACAAGAAAATGAAAGAACAGGAGAAATATATTCAACATCCAAATGACATCAAAAGCTATCGGGCACTTACAGCCTACTCCGTTAGCCTCATTTAGCCTGGACACTTTAATTGACAGGGTTTTTTCCTCCTTCCCCTCTCCCCTCTTTTTCTGCTTTATAGTTCAACCTGTGTGCCTCTTGCTCCATATTTGTCATCTGAAGAAGTGGGTTGTGCTGACAAAAGCTCATGATATTATCTATGGGTATATCTATACTATGGGACAAGGTTGAATTAAGAGGTACAACTTCAGTTGCATTAATTGTGTAGCTGTAATCAAAGTATCTTAACTCGACTTCTGGCACTGTCCACACTGCAGGAAGTCAAATGGAGAACACTCTCCCTTCAACTTCCCTTACTGGCTCAACCAGAGTGCCCCTCTAAGTTCGAGCTAGCATGACTTTACTAGATCTGCTAACTTGAACCCTGGATGATTGACAGCGGCAGCTTCCATTGTTCTCTGTAGTGTAGATGTACCCTAGATATATATTTTGGTTAGTCTCTAAGGTGCTACAGGACCAATGCTTTTTTAAGATTTTTCAGACGAAATGAAGAGAGAGAAGAAAAAGTGAATGAAAAAGCAAAGGGAAAGAAAACAATCCAAAAAATGAGAAAACCACACCCATGGGGAAGGTAGCCAGTGTGTGGGGCAAGGGGGAGGGGCACAGACAGTATGGAAGGGGCCCAGACTTACCAGCTCCAGTGCACCTGGCATCTCCTCTGGCAGGTCCTTGCAAGAGAGACATAGATGGAATAAAGCTGGAATTGCCAGGAAGGGGCGCTCAACCCGGAAACCATGAATCCTGACCCACAACCCCCAGCTTTGGGCCCCCCCCAGCCCTGCCTCTGCCCCTCACTTC